AAAAGCCACCAGGAACCTGGCTGCTTCTTTACACACCATTCAAGAGCAATTCCCGAGTTCTAGCATGTGGATGTTGATGTCACCCCCACACACATCCATCTAGGGTCTGTTTGGAGGCCAACTTCGTTGCTAAAACCATGTCTGTCCTAACTCCTAACATCTTGGGTGTCTGCAGCTCCCAAGTGTAGCCCACAAGTAGCTCCTCTTTGGCTCCAGAGATCACACGTGCCCACGGTCTGAGTTTCGGTCCCTTGATTCCCACCCCGAGGAGGTGAATGTTTTCTGCACTGGATTAGTCACGGCTCGCATTGAAATTGTGCAGCTGCTGGTACTTCTCCTAAGAGAAAAAAAAAGACATCTGGAAAATATTTTAAGGGGGGAAAAAAATAAAAAAGAAACCACGTCTTTTCTAACTGACAACGTGGCAATTGCTCAGTGCTCTTCAGTCTAGCCTGAAGCTAAGCCCTCTTGTAAGAAGTAAATGACAGTGCCAGGAAGATAATTATAACAGGGATTTCTTTATATACGTGGCGGCTTAAGCCCTGGTCTTGAGTGAAAGCAAAAAGCAGCCTGCAGCAGCGGAGCGGCCGTGTGTGGAGGTGCCTCCTGAGCTATACGTATATCTCAGCTATACGTCCAGGCGTGTGAGGGGTCCTGCCAGCCCTCCGGCCTGGCTGGAGCTAACGCAAACAGGAAAGGGGCCTTGGGCTGCAGCGCGGGGCAGAGCCGGGTCCTGCGGCTCCCCCGACGGGCAGGTCGCCAGGCGGGATGGAGGGGGAGCGCACGGAGCGGGAAACGAGAGCCTGGAGCGACCGGCAGCCTCGCTAATCTCAGCAGCTTCAAGAGCCTCGAGGATGACTGAGAGCTTGCAAAGGAGTCCTGGAAAGCACCCTGCACACTTACAGGGCTTAGACATCAAAGAGGAGACATTGATGTCGTGCTGCCAGGAGAAACACTGGACCTTGGACATGCTAGAGGTTCCTCTTGAGGTATCTAAAGCTCAGGGAACTGGGCAGGCAGAAGAAGGCCCAAGAGGGCCTCAGCAGCCATGGGCCCTACGCAGCGGCTGTGCTGCTCCACGCGAGCTGCCCTGCAGGCCCCGATCGGGGCTCTGAGCAGCACCAGAACCTGGATCAGACGCAGCACCTGAGCCCCAAGGCCCCTTTCTCTTGCTCCCTGTTCAAGTGACCTCATAAACTCAGATGGAAAAAGCAAATAAGACCAGACCCCCTGAGACTCAAACTGAATTTACAGCAAAGCCAAGATGTTTGCAAGGCTGAGGTTTGAACTCAAGCTAACCTCGACTCAAAATCTGAATTTCTTCATCCTGTTTTAAGCCTAGTTTGGCAGATCTGGGCTGGCACAGTCAAGAAAACCCTGGTACTCTCCAAGATGGGAGTGATTCTGCTGTAAGAGAAGGACAGAAATGCAAGTGAGAAGCTTGCTGGAAGTGGTACAAGTGGAGATTGATAATCCTGCTGTATCCTACTCACAAATTCTTCGGTCTCAGCAGCCCTTCCTCCTTTATGTTCTGGGAGGGATTTTCTAATGACTTTCTGGAGAGGATGATGTTCCTGCATTAATTGCTGGTGGAGGTTACAACAAAACAATGAACCCAAAGTGCATATAAATAAACAGGATGCCCCGTAACCGCTGTAGGAATGTCATTTAATAAGTCCTCATTGATCAGCGTGTGGCTGAGGGCTGTGCTCTGCTGTGTGAGCAGGATCCCTTCAGCTCCATGTGGGAAACGCAGCGGCTCCCAGTGCTTCAGCCCGGCACTCGGCTCAGGAAGAGGCCGTTGAAATAAGTTCAGGACAGACAGGCATCTTGCTTATCCTAGAAATGTTCCAGCTCTCCAGCTATCTCCAAAACCCAGGCGTCTAGGAGGGTTTCTTGGTTTTGTTTCTGCTTTGTTTTTCATTTCAGAAGGAGGTGAGAGGACTGGGCAAAAGGCCGTGGCCTCCAGATTTGCATTAAAGCAGAGGCGTGATCACTGTTCTGGACTGGAAGGGCCATTCGCACAGTGCAGGGTGAAGCTGAACTCTGCTGGGACCTTGGCCCACCTTGGCTGCCTTGGTCCTCCATGAGGCAGGGACTTCTCCCTGGTGGGACAGTCCCTGCAGCTTGGTGGTAGGGTTGGTTGCCCATACAGGTGCAGTGGGCTGACAAACCACCCCTTCTCCAGGCCGCTGCCCCTGCAGAGGCTCTTCGAGCTTGGCCCAGGAAAGCCTGAGTGAACAAATGGACTTGGGCAGCCTGGCTCAACGGGGTGATGCGGGCAAATGGGGTTGTGGCTCCCTCAGAAGCGAATGGAGGAAGAGGAGGGGGTGTCACTGTGCAGGGCTCTGCTGCGAGCCACGAGCTGGGAGCGGGGAGCAGGCCTCGCTCCGGAGCGCTGCGGCGGGTGGCCCATGGTGTCCATGGCGTGCGCAGGATCCCAGAGCTTCCCCTGGGATCTGCAGTGGAAGCGCTTCCCAGGCCGCATTGGGAGGGCTCCAAACTGCCCTGCAATGTGCTCTCCCTTGCTTGGGCAGCCGTGGGGGTGCAGACACTGAAAGTGCCCAGGCCTGGGGCTTAGCATCACGGCCCGGCTTCCCCTTTGCTCAGGACCTTGTGGTGGAGGTGCCTGGGCCTTGCAGAACGGGCAGTCAAGCTCCCGAGGGAGAAATGCAGTTCGTGCTTCCACCGTTTACCTACGATGCCCTTTCCAGCCCTCTCAGGCCTGACAGATGCAGCTTGGCAGTTTTTGAAGGCTATGAATAGAACTGCCTAAGGAAATAAACAGGAATCGACCGTCTAGCCCCTGGGACACGTAAGGAGAGGGAAGCCCTCGGACTGCACAGGGCAGCAAAGGGGGGCCAGGGCACCCCCAGGCTGGCCATGCACATAACCCTGTGAAGGGCTCTGGGGAACCCGCGTTTTCCAAACTCTCCGATATTTTCTGCTCGAGTTGCAGTTGCTCAGAGCAAGCCCCGGCTTGAGAGGTATCAGAGAAACGAGTCGAGCTGCCAGGTGCTGCAGGCTCCATAAACAGGGTGTCCCTGAAAGGAGAAGACAAAATGGGATTGGTTTTGCTGAAATGTATTTGGGAGGATCCTATAAGGAAGAAAAAACTAGTAATAGGTAGGCCCAGAATGAGGCAAAGAAGATACAGGGGAGATGGTAGGAAATGCTTTCTAAGAGCAAAGCTTTGGTACAGGGGAGTTGTTGGGACAGCACAGGGACAGAGCCAACATCTCGCAAGGCCTTCAGTTTCCAATGGCTCTGCAGGCTATAAACATAGTCCAGGGTAGTCCTGGGAATGGCTAAACCAGATTAAGTGTATGTGGAAAGGCAGCAAATGCCTGTCTGGGAGCAGTTTTCCCCCAAGGAGAAAGCAGTGGGTTGGGAGCAGCCAGCTCAGTGCTCCTGTTGAGCCGAGGATTCGCAGCAGCTCCCGGGATCAGGCCAAGACCAACAGCAAAAGCACCAGCTCCCTCCAAGTCATCTCCCATGCACGGCCCGGCCACGGTAAACTTCCCTGTCCAGGCTGGATTTTACTCTGGAGAGTTCAAATCCCTCAAAATCTTCCTTCCACGAACAATTCAGGTTTTGTAAATATTCTACTCCTTGCAAGGACCTGTCGGTAGAGAAGTCATTTGC